AAACTGACAAAACTTTTGTCAAAATCTGACTGCATCAATTAACAGTTGTGATAATCGTAAAATTCTCTATGTAGTCGGCTGCGTCTGCGCAGTCTATAAGAGACACTAAGGATGAATGGAAATTGTATTAACCAGACCCGTGACTTTTTCCTGCCGAAAAAATGGATGCCCCGAACAGCAGCGGCATCACCAGGAAAAAGAAGGAGATCAGCAGCCCAGTGAATTGCCTGTCCTTGATGAGAAAGACAAATCACAGGAAAATTCTGACCATGTGCCATTGGTAAGTGAAATGATTCGGCTTCAAACGCTTTTGCTGACCATTGCAGCCCTCCCCTTCGCAGCAGGAAGCAGGAACAAGACACACCCTGACGACCGATCCATTTCAATCGATCTTGAAGGTTCTAGCAGACCTCGAGCGCGACGATCCCAAGTTCGCCTTTCCAGCAGCTCGACTTGTTGGACTCTATCGACGCCTATGGGAGTCGTGCGTATCCAAGCACATTGATGGCCAGAAGCTAGGGCAGGAAAACATGGTCTTGAAGGAGGCTGATACGAACCTGAGACAAAAGAGGGACGATCTTCAGGCTCGTCACGACAAGCAGCTAGTCCGGCTGCGCTTTTTTGAGCAGGCATTGGATTTATCCAGGGAGAGGCTGGTTGGCGTACTCGATGACTGGAATCCCTCCTCGAGACTCAATCTGGCAGGATTGTCGGACAATGCAAGAGAAAGGTGAAAAACTGTCTTTTCGAGGCGAAGTGTCCTATTTCGGCTTAAAATACTATAGTTGACCTTTTCGAATTCAGTAGAACTACTGCTTAGAAAGCCTCTTCTATTTCTTAGTGATGCTGTAACAATGATACCTACAGTTTGAATAGATGGTCTGATCGAGTGGAGTCCAAGCAGTATACAGATCCAAGTTGATGAGCACTTGCCCCAGATTAAACCTGTCACGACAGCGGATAAAAGTAATAATGACACGTATAGGGCCAAGATTGCCAGAAAAAACGGCCATCATCTTCGAGAAACCATAAGAAAAGTAGCCGGGTAATCAGGGCAAATAGCATTAGCATGATAATCAGTCTTGTATAAACTCTTCAGGGGTCATTGTAAAGGACTTGGCATCCATGCTCCACAGTGGGAATAAGGCGAAGGTGGCAATATGTAGGTTTTCGATTACGGGGCCGCGCAGTTAGAGGTCTGGTGGGCTTTCACGCCGAGATGATTGACTTATATACAACTTAAGTGGATTGCAAGATTGAAATGCTTCTGTGAATCTCTGTGCCTGTGGCCAAATCCGGGCCTCACAAGCCATATCTAACTTACATCAAGCTCCTGGGAGCTAGATGGATGCGAGGGGAGCCCATTGGTGCAACGCCATGACCTCACAACCATCTTCTTCCATGGTTGGTTGAAATTCAGCCCTGGCTTCTGGAAACGCTGAGGTCATTAATCATGCGATATAATTGGATTCTCCCAACACAAGATTACCCACCGGGTGTTTACTCCCTGATTACTGCGAGCTGAGACGTATATAGATAATGTTAACCTTGCGACAGGTTCTAACGGTTGAAATGTTACAATCGACCATCTTCATTAGCTTACGATGCGGGTACTTAGTTCAATCGGTCTAGACTGTATTTGGGGGGGTGGTTGTTAGGATTTGCATTATACTGCAATCGCATTCACCTCCACCGCCCTTTTTTGTAAAACGAACGCATGAGTGGCCTCATATAATGTACAAATAACCTTGTTTCAACATGCTATTTATCACCACCCGCTCATAATGCCGCTAGAATGCGAGTCCGAGCGGATGTGTTAATAAGTTGCGGGATCCCTCTTCTTTTGGAGCTACATCTATCTCCAGTTGCATCATGATTCTGATTATCACAATACCAACACTCCACATTGTCTGATATAGATGGTTACTGGCCGCTCAAATCTTCGCCCCCAAGCAATTCTCTATTTTTGATTCAGCGGATTTGTTCTTGATTCGACGCGGCCTCACCGGAACGACCTTGCTCCCTCGACTCTATATCCAGCTCTCTTTCTGCACTACGCGGGAAACAAGCTTCATCGCCCCTTTACATCCTGTGTGATACTCGCACAGAATTGCTTCAGGTTTTACCTCAAGTGTGACTGAATATCATGCATTCGATCCTCGCCATATCGCTCGTCCTATCACTCGCCCTCTTCTCCACAGCGGCGCTAAACCCGTGCTCGTTCGCGACAAACGATATGTCTCTAACAGAAGCCCAACTGATACAAATTGCTCCGCAATCAAAATCCTGCGATGACGCTCCAGCAAAGGGAGAATGTGCTACGGCAAAGACAGCCGCCGACTCCATCTCCCAATCTTTCAATACATACAAGGTCACCAATAAAGCCGAACAAGTCGCAATCCTCAGCCTGATGGCCTTTGAAAGTAACGATTTCAAGTACAACAAGAACCATTTCCCCGGTATACTGGGACAAGGCAGTAAGTTCACCCGAAACCCACTGCACTCGGCCAGACCGTGAAGAACTTTATAGTAACTTAAAATTATATAACAGCGCGCAATATGCAATCTCCCGCCTTCAATAAGAAATATGCGAAGAGCATTCCCGAGCTGAAAAGTAGATTTTATTTCGTGGAGAATATTCCCGCAGATCTACTTGACTTGTTGCGTGAGAATAAAACTTATGATTTCGGTTCTGGTGCTTGGTTCTTGACTACGCAGTGCTCGAAGGAAGTGCGTTCTGCGCTACAGGATGGTTCTGAGAAGGGGTGGAAGAATTATATCACTGAGTGTCTTGAGACTAATGTTACCCATGAGCGGAAAGAATATTGGGACCGGTCTGCTGAGGCTCTTGGTGTGAAGGATGCTTGATTCAATTCTATCCGAGATTTTGCTTGGGGAGTTTGTGGCAAAGCGTTATATTCTGAGACAAGTCGAGGAGTTTTAGGTGTGATTTGCTGTATCTGGCTCCTCGTGGAGTCAGTGATCTGAGTTTCTATCTAATAAAATTTGTTTATATGTAGTTCAAAACGAAGGAGTTGTTGAGTCATACAATATCTTATCACTCTCAGCAGTCCAATTACCACGCCCTTTTCGCCTCCTCAAGCTTGTCCATTTCCTTATGTCCATTTCCTTGGTATAGTACCCTTGTGCATAAACCTCCATTTACATTTCAACAAGGATCTTTTTCTACCATAACCCTGATAGTCAGGCTCCGGGGCACGAGTATAAACCAAAGGCGTGATTTCGGCCTTTCTGTCTCTTTCTGGGAAGCCGAGAAACCTCACTCACTTAACGCAATAAGTGGAAGTTTTATTTTTTCTATACAGAGCTGCAATAGTATTTTCACAGGACACGTTGTGCAATTCAAAGGCCTTATTTCTCATCAACCAGAAAAATATGAACCTCCCATTATGTTAGCAGCTTCTTCATTGGCTGTGGCAATCGTAACAACGTGCATCGATTCAGATCTAATCGAAGCTGGCAGGAATACCGCTGTTTCGCCACACCGGCCTGCCACCTTGCACTAAAAACTTTTTGCTATCGATATTGCAACGATCAACAACTTGAGACGTGGACATGCAATAGTTTGGAGACGTGAGACTGAATACACAATATGGAAGCAGTCCAGGGTGCTCAGAGGCGAGGTATCTGAACAACTGGAGCAATAAGGCTTAATTTCGGAAATGATGATTTTGGTGGAAGATTACGTTTCAAGTTGATTTCCCGTAATATACAATGGAATAATTCCGGGCCCAGCAAACAGACATAGCTGCCACGAAGATCTAAATGAGTAGACTATGCAATGGCCCTCACTGAGTAGGTCTAATTAAATAGATCGCCGCAAATGCCCCAGCTGGAATCGAAATCAATATGTTTGCCTGGACTTAGGCAGTATGGCTAGGTTGTTGTGATGAGAAGCTAGTGCAGATCAGGAACCTACCGCTCCGCACGAATTTTCGAACTGTTCGAAGTTCGCGAATTTCGGCGAATCGAATCGAATTCGAACCCTGGCTTCGGGGCTTCGAATCTATGGCCGATTCGATTCGTCAAAATTCGCGAATTTCGAACAGGTTCGCGAACTAATATCTAGCCTTTTAGGAAAAAGGGTTTGTGGAACCAGTTTTCGAGATGCCTGACCCCTACAAGAATACTTCTGCAAATAAGGTCTAGAATATCAAACACCGGTATGCCCAAAAAAGGTATTACTGTATAACTATGAAGACTTCCAACGCGCAGCATCTTTCAGCCTTAATAAGGTCCCAAGGGTCTTACCTTTCATGGAGAAACGTCGGATCCCCAGCACATCTCTCCCACCATTGAACAATCTCTCGATATCTACCTCTGCTGCTGGTATAGCAAGGTGATCTTGGGCTACCTTTGCCATACAACTATATTCAAGCATGTTGGCCTTCCACCAGTTTCGTATAAACTCGGACTGGCTCTGGCTTATATCGAAACCAGTGCTGATTGTCGGAGTATCGAGGTACTTGTCGATGTCAGACTCAGCGACGTTATACTGTGTAGGCTGAAAGGCTTCCAGAAATCGATATTCGAAGCTCTTCCAATTGGTGCTTGGAGCAGTCGATACAGGCTGCTTTGTAGTGGAATATGCTTTCTTCAGGAACTCTCGGATTCGGTCAATAATCTTCTCTCCATCCGGTAGCGTTTTGAGCCACTTGGTCTTGATTCGAGGGTCCAGAACGCTTGCGATATAGTATATGTCGTTGTCTTTGATGCAGTCGTGGTACTTCTCCAGGAGCGAGATTCCGTCGGAAACAGGAACAGTTATTGCCGGTGAGACCTTTTGCCACTCGCCTCGTCGTTCCTTGATAGCTAGGAGTATAGAACGGAGCTCTCCAAACATACGCGCCGCCATATGAATTGAAGGGCTATCCCGAGAGACGTACTCGGTATATTCGTTGAAGGGAGCCAGGATTTTCTTGATATCCGAGAGCTGTCTCCAGTCGTTGGGTGTGAGACGTAAGGCTTCGATATCTGGATCATCGTTGACTGTATCTTCGAGCTGACGGCGACACTCTTCAGCTCTCACAATCATAACAAAGGTAGAGTTCCATCGAGTATCAACATCGTAGTTGATAGCTTTTGTACAGCCAGGTCGATTATCCCACTTCTGTATCCGCTGAGGAGATCGCGCAATCCAAAGGACAAGTAGTCGAAGCTTTGCTATAGGCGAAGTAGGAGCGTTGACCGTCTTCCAGCTCCTCTTAGCAACATCATCAAGGAGATCACAGGCCTCCTTATGTGAACTAGCGCGTAGAGACCGCAATATAGTTTTCATAACCAAGTTCAAGATGTGAGCAAAGCAGCGGATTTGGGAGTTATGGGTAAATTTCATCGTCCCTTCTCGGATGATAGTCTCGGACAGGTACTCATCGTACCGCTGAGACAGCTTTTGGTAGAGATATCGGTGTAGGGTATCGTTATTCGATGCGTTGTCAGCTGTAATCGTCATAACTTTATCAGATATATGAAACCTCTCGAGAACCGTCGCAACGATATTAGCAAGGTTCTCTCCAGAGTGACTGCCTTCAATTTCAACGAACTCAATACAAGCTCGATATTGCTGGAAGGCAGAGGACATCCAGTGAGCATTGATGGCTAGCATTGGCAATGAATTCTGACTGGTCCAACCATCCAAAGATAGCGCAATTGAGGGTGCTGAAGACATCAAGATTCGAAGCTCACTGTCAAGAGCATCAAGCCGAAGACATAA